CCCCCCCCCCCCCCCCCCCTCCCCCAATTCCTCATATTTACTCGCACAAAAACCAAGCTTGCAATTGGGCTTCCTGTGCTCAAACCTTTGACCTCTGAGGTGCTGATGCAAGAGAGCTTCTGAGTCTGGAATGCTGGATAGACTGTACTGTGAAGTGTTTTTTATCTTTACCATGAGACTGCATGTTTAACAATCACATGGTTATGACCCTTTCACACATGGCAGCCATGTTAACTGTCTGTTAACTGGAGCAAAAGATTCTCCTACATAGCCTTATAATACATTTAGATGCTTCAAGACAAGGGTAAGATAGTAGGGTAGGACACAGGTAGCCCACTCTATATGTGTGGATAGGGATAAACATGGTGCTGCATGATCGAGGTCCATTATGTTTTGCCTTCTGGACAGTAAGTTCTTTAGACAGATAGTTAGTGAGTCCATCATGTGGGTCAAAAAGTCCAAAATATCTATATTATTAGTGATCTGTATACAGCTATTTCAAAGAAAAAGTTGGTGAAGGTTTTGTTGCTTGTTGCTTGTTGCATAACAAGCCCAAATTGCACTATGGTGATGTGAATACAATTAGGGAAAGGTCACAATGATATGAAATTTTCCTATTAACTTTGTGTGTATTTTTTACTGGCACAATTTCTTGTGTGCTTAAATTATTTACATATGAACATAATAAATTTTAAGCTTAGTATGAAAAATGCAACAACACCTTAACAAACCTTTTAGTTTGAAATAGCTGTAAACCAAACTATTGCAACTGATCCTGCACTGTGATTGGCTACTAGTAAGGAAAAAATGTATCAGATCTGAAAACAGACTGAATCTTTCAGAATGTATAAATTCATAAACTTAAAGACTGATCAAACACAACTCATCAACTTCTTAGACCTTTGGCTTGTATTTTGACACACTTACATAAGCTACATCAGTTAAGTAACTTACTATAAAAAACAAATAGTTGAACTAAATGATAAATAATAGTAGTAATAAATTATGCATTTGGTGTGTAATGAAATAGAGAGAATAAGAGAAAAATATCAAATGCCCTTGGCCCTAATTCATTCATGACTAACAGTATTAATCCTAAATATGAACAATGTTTCTCAAGAAAAGAGAAAAATTTTAAATTACAAATACATATTTATAAGTGACTGGTCAGAAAGAAAAGGGGAGGGTAGTTAGTCTATGAAAAACAGGGGTGGACCATTTTTTTGAACCTCAAATAAAGAAAGGGCATGAGAAAATAAGCTGTTTTTTTTACTATAGGGCCCTACCTCATTGGGATTACTGCAGTTTTGATATTCTGTGAGCTCCGATTTTTCAATGGCTCGTTGTGAAATTGGTTTTTCACTGCTTTTTCAGGTACCAACTGATTATTTACGGTTGACGGCAGCAAAAAATCAAATTTCAGCATTCAAGTTGCAACTACCGAGAGCGCAGAATATTGAAATCCACAGTAAAACCAGGAGTAGGGATTTTTATTTATGGTCCACCCCCCCTCCCCACCCCCTTTACATTTTTACCAGACCCTGAAGATAGCTTTCTTGTTCAAAAAATATGGTTGATTTCATATAAAAGACACATATTATTTTGTTCCAAGATTTTCAAGGCTCTATTTATAAATATAGATGACATTGTGGAGTTATTTCAAGGATCAAAATTCTTCTTCCAGGCAAGATTACCAATAAATATATTTTTTTGTAATATAAACTCACTACAGTTTTTAGCAGTTGTGATCACCACTCTTGCACACATTGATTGACACTAGAAATATAAACTTGCCAACCGTTGAACCAGCACCACATCAAGAATAGTTTGAAGATATTTTTTCATAGTTATTACAAAATAAAAAGTTCGAAGAGCCAATACTAGATGCAATAGGTGGAGAGTTGAAAATATCAAAACATTCGTAAGGTCATCGAGAGACGATGTTGTTCATGTAAACATGACATACTTGATAATAATGGCAACAAATGCTAAAACCAAAGTCATGTAAGCGGCAAATAGTTCGAAGTCGAATCTCTTGTCCTCAAAAGGCTCTGTTGAGTTCATTCCTGATAGCTATCTAAACGACATTTAGAATTCCCAAGCTCCTATTTGAAAAGATTCCTCTTCAAACATGCTGATATGTAATTGCATATTTAAGGACTTGACTGTATCCGCTCACACTTGATCAATCGCGAAATCGATTCATCGTTAAACAATTTCCAACCAAGAATGTTAATATTGAAAAGATGTCCAATATAACTTGCTTTAAGAATAGATTTTAACAGAATATCTGCTTCGGTATCTAATTATTACATGTCTATAGCTTCAATGGAGTGAATTTGACGGCACGAACCACTTTAAAACCTAAGGAAGGGAAGGGGGGGGGAGATACTGTTCCTTGCCACAGGTATCCCAAAGGTAATTAGTACGGTGGCCTATAAAGAACATGAAGCAAGTTAGACGAGTTGTTGCAAATAAGAAACGCAGTTGCTGCATGCTAGACGAGCTGCTGCGAATAAGAAAAGCAGTTGCTGCATGCTAGACGAGCTGCTTAAAAACGAATTGCTGCAAATGAATAAACAAGTTGCTGCAAATGACAAAAGAGTTGTTACAAATTAATAAGACACAAGTTGCTGCAAATAAGAAACGAGTTGCTGCAAATTAGAAACAAGCTGTTTCAAATAAGAAACTAGTTGAGATTCGCTTAACGTTTTCCTTCAACATTCAATTTGATTTAGTTGAGAATGATTGAAATTTAAAAACTGCCGGATATTCAATCCGTGCCAGTTAGTCTGACATTTTCTACTGAAGTGCCACAAAGAGAGTCGTCCACATTCTATGGCCGAGGACTATGGCGAACAGAAACTACTGGGAAAAAGGGGCTGGGTACTTAATTGTGCGCGGAGACTGGTATTGCTAGCTCATATAAAAGAAACAATTGCAATTGCAATACAGTCATGTCGAAAATTGAAACCAAGTGGCTCTTGTTAGTAAACTTTTCCCAGGCTGCATTCCAAATCAGAAAAACAAAACTCAATTTTACCGATCGATATTATCGCTTATTTAACCGTTAATTCTGAATTGATGGGCAAAAAGGAATAGGTACAGTAACTCTTTCTAAAAAATATATCGACAAATTGATAATAATGAGCATTAAAAAAATATTATCTGGATACTATGGGGCTCGAACCCACCGACAGAAATTTTTAAAAAAATCGACTCCACTTTGCCATACCCCCGAGACATCCGCAGAGCTGAGGCGTCGTATGGACTTCG